TTGCATGTCTTCTAACCAAAGTAAATATCCCATTACATTTTTGCATGTCTTCTAACCAAAGTAAATATCCCATTACATTTTTGCATGTCTTCTAACCAAAGTAAATATCCCATTACACTTTTGCATATTCTTTTATACCATTACACTTACTTAACACTACTAACAATTTCACATTTTCTCTTTAGAAGTTTCCCATTACACTCTAATACTAGATTATTCTACCATTTCACCGCTCTGAAACCTTAATTACATATCATACTTTCGATCCATGCACAATTTGGAGTATGCGTTTCATCCATATTCATTTGAATTTGAAGATGTATGCATGCATATAATCAGGATCTCGGGGTACTATTATACTATTTCCTTAGTATAAATTAAGTTAGCCAGGGTGTTTTTGATTTGTATAGATGCTGAATGCAATGCTCAACGATGTACATTAACCGAATGATTCAAATCTTGTTCAAGATTTAATTAACTACATACCCAAATAGTACTTATTGAAATATTTGATCTAAAATTATATACGAATCCTGAATTTGTAAATCAATTATTCCAGAATCTACAATATCAATTATTCCAGAATCTACAAAATTTAAGAATGTAATAGTTGATTAAAAAATAGTTGAATCATTAAACATGGCTATTAGATTTAAAATCGATAAACCAAATAATACCTTCTGAAGATTTTATAGCTGGTAAGTTACTTGGCGTAGGTTCGGATTGAACATGTAACAACTCAAAAGTTTTGAATTCATCAAATTGATTTTTCAAGTCCCGAGCAGTTGGTCTTTTCTCAGGATCGGCATCCCAGCATTGTTTAATTAATTGAATAATACATGGAGGTGTAGTTTTGTCATCGATCATTGGACGAAAGTCTCCAATAATTCTTGGCACAAGTGTAATATCATGTGGATAATCGTAATGAGGTAGCATGCCTGTTGCCACTTCATTCACAAGAATTCCGAACGAATAAATATCTGCTTATTGTGTATATTTAGATCCATACAAAATTTCCGGTGCAATATATGGCAAAATCCCGTAAACTTGATTTTCATTTGAAGGCTCGTAATTAACCGATCTACAGAAACCAAAATCTATAATGCATGCGTTTTCAGAGTCTAATAATACAACATTTCCGCTATGAAGATCTCGATGAATCAATCCGGCATCATGAATATCATTAAGTCCTTTGAGTATTGAAAATAGAATCTTGAATTTTTTATTCCAGTCTAAATTCCGAGAGTTATTATTTAAATATTGCCGAAGGCTTCCCCCTTCCGCATATTGCATGACCATCATGAATTTATTTGAATTTGGATTTCGAGTTATCCCATAACATGGAATTACTTTATAGCCACCCTTTATGTTAATTGATTTTATTTGATTGCTAATCTCTTCAATTAACTCTTTTTCATCGCCCGAATTATGTAAACTCTTTAAAACAACTTTTATATTAGGGCATCTTGACCAACTTTTTTTCTCAATATTCCATTTGCAAATATAGCCATCTTTCCATGTTGCTCCGTATAGTTCACCGAATCCACCTTTAGAAAGAAACGTAACATGAGAGAAATTTTCATAGGGAATCCACTCTAATTTTTTAAATATATTTGATGCGTTGAGTTGTGTTTCTTGAATAAACTTGTCAATGATAGGAATCCCACTTGTCCAGTTTTTGAATTGATCTTGAAAATGTTTTGAGTTACAAACTTTGCACCAAAACAAAGGATCTTCGTTGAAACTTATTCGTTTACATTCTTCGCATGAACTTAAAGTCATGGTGAATTAAAAGACTATTAAATTTTTACATGATTCCAATTATTGATCATATTTTAATATTTACAATTTTTGCTCTGCTTAAGAATGTCCTAAAAGGAAAATGCCTTTAAAAAAACGATTTTCTAATGACATATTTGTTTTATCGGAAAATTTTAATCTATGAATCCTAACAATTGTTAACATATCCAAATACGGATACATCGAGATTAACGTTAACGATTTGGTCTTACCATTATTGTGAATCTCCAAAAAAGGAAATTTGAATATGCTACGTAAATTGTACGTAGTTCATATTTGTACGTATTAAACTTTTTAACATTTAAAACCACATATATTTTTTTAATAGGTGTAAGGAAAATTTCTTTAATTTTATAAAACTTCTAATAGGGGGTTTCAAAATTAAATTCAGAGAATCTTATTTAATTTTTCCGATTCATAATTCAACATAAAAATGCTATTAAAAAAAATCCTATTTATGAAATGCGTCACTTATTTGTTAACTTTGAAATTCCCTAAAGATTGTGGTTATGTGACTAAAATTAGTAAGAATTTCCAATTATACGAATGATAGTTTTCACATGGTTGTAACTTGCCGTAACTATAGTAACATAGTAAAGTTACGACATTATAGCCGTAACTTTATTTATTAATTACTATAGTAAGTAACATAGTAAAGTTACGACATTATAGCCGTAATTTACTTATTAATTACTATAGTTACGGCATGTGACAACTATCATTCAACTTCATTGGGACGATTCTACGGCATCACTAGTACATATGTAAATTCTATTTATGATTTGTCATCTGACTTTAATGAACGTACGTACGTACGACACAAATGGCTTGAGGCGAGCTACAGACCAACTAACAAGCCGAACCATTTAACGATTCGGCTACAAAATCTGTTAATAAAATATCGGCACTGGAAATGATTCTGCTCAAGACCATGAATCCGATCCTAGATTCATGTATCTATCATATGACCATTTGCTAATGGTAAATTATGACCATTGGCTAATGGTAAATTATGACCATTGGCTAATGGTAAATTATGACCATTGGCTAA